TTCAATAACGGATTACTGAGACAAAAAGTCTCAAACATTCTAACACTCTGATATACTTGAATGATTTCTGTTTTTGCATAAGGCTACAGGTACAAGAAGTTAATCACCTATGATACATTGAAGCTCAAAGCTCTGATATTCTGATCTGAAGCTCTGATATTCTGATGTTCAAAGAAAGTCAATAAAGATCTGATCTTGAAGAACTCTTGGAATTCAAAAGGGAAGTAATAAATTCAGGGGGAGTATCTCCGATCTAAACTCTGATATCTCTTTATCCCTCATCTTTGATAACTTCCTAATTAATTCTGATTCAACTTATTATTTAGTTATCTCTGGTACTTTTTCATGCTAATTTTCAATTAAAAATATCTAGTTTTTGTCATCATCAAAAAGGGGGAGATTGTTAGAACAAAGTTTGAATCTACTACCCTAAGTTTAAGTTTTGATGATAACAAAATGCTAAGATATATTAATTGTATGATTCATGTAAGACACATATGCTATCTAAAAATTACACTCTGTTTTACAGAAACTCTGACAGGTATCAGCATGAGAACATCCTCATCAGCATCAGAAAATTGGATATCAACATCAGCATCAGAAGATGCTATATCAGATACCAGAATCAGAAGATCAACTTGCGCTTATGCTGAAGCTTGATGAACAGATCTATGCTTAACACTCTGAACTCTGATAAAGACAACAACGGTTCATCAGCACCTAAGCAGCGTCAGAATGAGCCAAAGCCAGAACACGCTTAAGTGGCAACGGTACTGTGCATTCAAGATGAGTTATTACCAACGACATCATTCCAGACAAGATCTGCTTAATAAGGAAAGATTGTTATTGGCATTGAAACAAAATTATTGCTCCAACGTACACTAATTCCAATGCTATATAAACAAGTCAATGAAGATTGAATTGGCTAATGCTCTACAACAATCTACACGCCAAAAAGCTATTCATCATCTTCCTCACTCTCAGTTTGCTAAAAGCTCCAAAATTCCTTACTCGATTATTTTAGCACTCTAGTCTCATAAGCTTAATTTGTGTAGTATCACAATTGTGATAAATAGTTTTGTAGAAAACATTCACACACCTAGATTTCAATTCTTTGTAAGAAAGTAATTCCTTGAGAAACCGGTTTGTGGTTTGCATCAAGAAGGCTTTAGCAGTTGTTAAAGCAGATTGTAATATTCAGTTGAATATAGTGGATTAAGACCTCGTTGGAGAGAGGCGAAATCACCTTGATGGGTGGACTGGAGTAGTTTGAGATCAAATGAATCAGGATAAAAATATCGTGTTGATTGCAATTGATTTCCAGTTTTTACAATTCAACCCCCCTTCTTGTATTTCTCACTTCTTCAAGAGAAACGACCTAGATAAGGGAATTCACGACCAAACACAGACTAGCTAAGAGGTTCAACTTGAAGGTGAGGCAAAGAGGATTCCATAGAGGCGACCTAGTTATAAATTAATCACTAATCCCAACAACAAAGGAAAGTTGTCTCCAAACTAGGAAGGCCTCTTCTGGGTTTGTCAGAAGCTGGATAATGAGGCTTACAAGCTGGAAACTCTGGATGGCACTGAAGTACATAGGACATGGAATATATAAAAGCTTAGACTGTACTTTAGTTAAAACTATGTAATAAAATGTTATCATAAATAAAAATGTACGAGATGCACTCTTTTCCCTTGTAAGGACAAGGGTTTTTAATGAGGCACCCAAGTTAAAAAACATTTGTAACACCATCTAATAAAGGGTAGTACCTAGCTTCGGTTGAGGAGCCAGATCGGTCAACCTCACCTTTGGACAAGGGGCTTTGACCAAGTGCCATGCTAATAAAACCTCTGGCCTAACTGAAGTCCACGCGATCTTGAAGCCTCTGGCATAATCGACTTCGACTGGGTAACATTAATAAAACCTCTGGCCTAACTAAAGTCCACGTGAACTTGAATCCTCTGGCATAATTGGCTTCGGCCGGATAACGTTAATAAAACCTCTAGCCTAACTGAAGTCCATGCAAATTGAAGCCTCTAGCATAATCGGCTTCAGCAGGGTAACATTAATAAAACCTCTGGCATAACTGAAGTCCACTCAAACTTGAACACTCTGGCATAATCAGCTTCGGCTGGGTAACGTTAATAAAACCTCAGGCCTAACTGAAGTCCACACGAACTTGAAGCTTATGGCATAATCGAATTTGGTCGGGTAACGTTAATAAAACCTCTGGCCTAATTCAAGTACACGCGAACTTGAAGCCTCTGGCATAATCGACTTCGACCGGGTAACATTAATAAAACCTTTGGCCTAACTAAAGTCCATGCGAACATGAAGCCTCTGGCATAATCTACTTTGGCCGAGTAACTTTAATAAAACCTCGGGCCTAACTGAAGTCCACGCGAACTTGAAGCCTCTGGCATAAATACTTGGTCAACCTCGCCTTTATAATAAAGGGGCTCTGAATCAATACTCGGTCAACCTCTCTGTAGTGGTAAAGAGGCTCTGAACCAAAACATTCTGGGAAATCGTGAAACTAAAAAATTGAGGATTTATGTCCCAGGTAAAAGAGAATTCACTAAAGGCTCATTAATCAAACGTCATGAATGGATGATTACCCACTTCAAATATGCATAGGGCTCTTAGTCCAAATTAAATAGTCTCAACAAAATAGACTAAACTTCCTAGTTACATCACAACTTGGGTGAGGATAAAATAATGCTGAGCTAATCGTATCCGGACACTTCACTCCTGCGAACTTTGTTCCTGTGGGGCTTAATATACACCCAAGATTATTTTATAAAAATTGGGATGAAGGAAGTCGATTAGATCCTTTCTTAAAAGCCAAGCATATACGAATAGACTAAACATCCAGGATATAACTATTTTGGTCGCCATGATATACTAATCCGATCTTAGAAGGCTTGGGGCATATAAAACCAAATTGTTACGATCGAAATTAACAAAAAGGGTAGACCTCAAAAGGCACGAGTACCCGTAAACTCAAGAATAACTTTAAACTCCGTCTAAACAAAAATTAGTACCAAACTTCAAATAAACTTGGGGCTTATTAGATAGGAAAATATAGGCTTCGGGAAAAATCCCCGACTAGGAGCAGAGATAAAATAGTGTCGCGCTTCTCTTGTCCAAAAACTTCTTTCCATCGGACTCTGTGTTCGAGAAGGCTTAATATATACATCCCAAGATATTTTATAAGCTGAGATATGAACTCAGTTAAAATCTAAGGGGCTCTAGAAGCTTATAGCCTGTATAATTGAAAATCCTAAAATATAGTAGATTTTAGAGGTAGTACAAAGACCTCGATCCAATCGATACAAAAGTTAGAATAGACAAACATCAAATAACTTGAGGATACTTGTCCAAGATAATAGATTAATTAGTGATCAACCAAAAAATCTTTATCTCACAGTCGAAATATCAGTCGAAATATCCGTTACATGCACTAGACTATAAATTTAATAACAAGTAAATAAAGCTGAATTTATAAGTCGTAAGTTTACAAAAATATTCAACTATATTTTTAATCAATAAAATTTCAATAATTTATTTAATAAAAAGACATATTAACTTTTAACATACAAATATTTATTTTCAATGTGATAATTCAGTACATATTTAGATTAACTTTAACACGCTTCAAAATTAATTCTAAAAATATAGAATTGATTCTAAATAATTTTAAGGTGTTTAGTTTATCAAAAATAGAATTGATTCTGTCTATAAAATTTATTTTATTTGAATTATAATTTTTAACTTTTTAAAATTTATTATTTAAATCATTTATTATTTAAATCATTTATTCTATCAAAAGAAAAAGTGAAACTTCTTTTATATATTTATATATTTATGATGAATTTGTTTTACATACCTAATAATTTTGTTGCTATATACACTTTAAAGCCACTTAAATGTACTTGGCTATATTTTTTTTATAACAATTGCTTAAATAAACTAAAACCCATTTTTAGTAACACCAAAACTTGAAAACAAAACATTTTATAATAAGAAACAAAAACACTTTCTTTCTGTTTCCCATTTCACTTTCTTCTCTTTTTTTCACACATGGCCTTTCTGTCTTTATTTATCATCATCTCTATTTCTTTGCTGTGTTTGGTTGGTGAGCCCCCACAGTGCCCTTCTAAACCTCTAAACTAATAACCTATCTCTCTTTTCTCTCACTCATTCACTCACTCTCACATCAAAAAGTCACAAAAAACAGCTTTCATTTTTACACAAGAATAGTCTTTTTTTTTCTCTTCCATTACAAAACATTAACTAGGAATTGACTTCTTATGTCTGTCTCAGTCATTGTCCACTAGATTTTTCTTAGCCACAAGGAGAGGGGAGATGATTTTCTTGAAGATTATTGGTGTCTACACTAAGAAGCTTTCTTGTTTTGTTGATTTGAGACTCAAATTTGAAGCTTTGGTGGTGTTTGTGTTTTTTCAGTTCAAGTAAATTTGTGACAGCTGTTGAAATTCCTCAAATAAAGACAGGTTTTTTAAGGTAATATTGTCTTTGTTTGTCTTGTTTCTTGGTGAATATTGTTTGAAATCCAAAAGGGTCATGGATCTACCTCTTAGAATCTCAATTTGATCTTAGGTTTATTGTTAGCAAGATTTGTTGGTTTAGAGAGAGAGAGAGAGAGAGAGAGGGGGAGAGAGAATGAAATGCATAGAAGGTTAGAATAGAACTAGAACAAGATTGCCAAATATTGAGTGTGTTTTTACCACTTTGGCCTTGTTGCTTTTTGCAAGGATTCTTGAGAGAAAAGATTTTCATTTTGCAACGGTTGAAATCTTCAAAGCTGCTTTAATAATACTAAAACCGCAAGTGAATATTTTTCTTTAACAAAGCCAAACGTGCCTCCAAGTTTCAATTTTTATAGAGACCCTTTTGAGGAATTTGTGGTGTGATATATTGCATTGGAGTTATATCCTTGAGCTGAATTATCAAAATTTTCCAAGTGTGTCTATCCATGAAGGTTCCGTTTCCAAGCATAGTGATGCTTGTTTTGCTTCTTTTTTGCTTTGTATCACTTTCTCATGTTAGAGCTCAATCTTCTTCAAATAGTGAAGCAAAGGCTTTGGATGTTGTTCTCCAACAATATGCTTACAAGTCATTGGTGAATCCAAAAACAGGTACTATTTACAATGCAACTCAACTTCCTTCAAGTTTAACTGGAGTTAAGGTTTCAGCATTAAGATTAAGGAGTGGAAGTTTAAGGAGAAAAGGTTTTCACATGTACAATGAATTCGATATTCCAAATGGACTAATTGTGAAACCTTATGTTGAAAGATTGGTTTTTGTGTATCAAAATCTAGGTAATTGGTCCAACGAGTATTACCCTTTGCCTAATTACACTTACTTGACACCAGTTTTAGGACTATTAGCTTACGATGCTTTAAATTTGTTGGCTACAAATTTATCAGAACTCGAAATAAATCCTTCTGGCGACCCTATATCGGTCAAGTTCCAAGATGTTAAATCACCTCCTCGTGGAAGTGTTGCGAAATGTGTTTGGTTTGATTTGAAGGGTGGTTCAAATTTCAGCAATGTAAAAGGCGGTAACACATGTTCTACTTCGCAACAAGGTCATTTTTCTATAGTGGTTAAGTCTGTTGTTCCTCTAGGACCGAAAGATCGAGGCGAGGGTGAGAAGAAGAGTAATAAAAAGGTGTGGATTATTGTTGGTTCTGTTGTTGGAGGACTAGTTTTGTTGGTGTTGTTTTCGTTTCTAGCTTTGTGTATAAACAAATACAAACATAAGAAGAAAATGCAAGGTATGGAAAGAGCTGCAGATTCAGGAGAAACTCTTCAAATGGCTTCTGTTGGAGATACTAAAGCACCGGCTGCAACAGTTACAAGAACACAACCAACGCTTGAACATGAATACGCACCTTGACTTTAGTTGCTGGTTCATTCATATTCAAGTTAATTTACTGTAATCAGCAATTCTTCTAATCGCCATTTTCTTAGATTTGGATTGTCTATGGTCACAATCTTACGCATTCACGCAGTCATCTCACCGGAGGACATTGGATCGAGATCAAGTGCTGCATAAAGCAAACAGATTTTATTTGTCCTTAGACTCGAAATCTACAACGTCAAATCTCGATCCAATGACCACCAATGTGCTGACTGCGTGAAATTGTTGGCTTGAGGTAATCCAAATCCTTTTTCTTTTGGTACAACTTAGTTTCCTTGTTTGCTTCACATAGGAATTTTTGTGTACATTTGTAATGCTTTTAGTTTGTTTCACGATTCATTGTGATGTTAATTTAGCAGTAAAAGAAAAGTGTTGATAATGCCATGAATTCAGTCATGCTCCATTGAAAATGAATAAAAACTTCAACAACTACTTGTGATTATTTAATTTGTTTTTACTTTCTGTCTTCACATGGTTGAAAACTTAATAGCTTGATATAAATGTTGTTGTGGTCACACTGGCTTGGCTTTCAGTTCACATCTCTTCTGTTCACACTAGCTTTTTAGTGTTTACATTTAATCAAAATAGTACAATTATGGTATTCTGCCTTGAAACCGACTAATCTAATGGGATCAATCCCACCGTCCACTAGCAGGCCGGGATTCACTTAAAGTCAGAACAAAGTTTTGTATGAACTGATCCATCACAAAAATTGTTAGCACCTAGCTGTATTCAAACATGATGATACCTTGAGAGGAGCATACAAAAAATATTTACTTCTTCTAGTCGCAACTTCATCGATAACCTCTTAGGCCATAACGTGCCTAAGAGTTAGAAATTGAACTTATAAACTCTTGCTTAAAGGTGTCTAAATCCTCATGAACTATTGCTTAAAGGTGTCTGAATCTCTTAGCACTCTGGCCAACCACATATTGCCAATAATTGAGAAGGTAAGGATTAATGGCTTAGAATTACAATAGAGTTATAAAGTACTTATTCAAGGAGCCTCTCCTAATCATTGCTTACATTTGTTTTTATTTAGTTTCCAAACACAAAGACAAAAGAATGTATATAAACAAATCACAAGACTTTGTGCTGTTGTGTGCTGGCAATTCAGTGGTCATCTATCTACAACTAAAAAGTGAGAACATTGTAATTATAATTATAATGCAGACAACAATGTCAGGACAAAATTGTTTAAATACATTTATGTAAAAATGAATTGAACAATAAATTTCTGTATAAAAATTATCTAAAATCAATTCTGGAGACAAAAGTTATAAATTCTAACTTTGTTAAGCCATTAAAAAACACTCTCGAATGCAAAGAATATTTAATACTAGTTCTTCTTTTTCAACTAATAAATATCATATGAAGTTTGTAGAGTATCCAATTATGCAGCTTAATAATGATATAGACTTCTAAGCTACTACATTCCTTTAATAAAATACAACTAAAGTTACTATCTAATTATTTGTATGAGTCAACTACTCAATCTTTATAAATAATCATAAAGAAACAAAACAAAGATGATAAATGTTTTTAGCTGCACGGGTGAGGTAAGTGATGAAGTGAGACATCACATTCACAGCTCAGTGCCATCAACACTAGTCAATAATTTATATAGTAGTTTTCATATATATTGGAATTAGAAACTTTGCATTATAATATCTCAATAAACTATGCATATAATTTATTTACTACATGCAAAAAAATTCGCAAATAACTACATTTCAGAAAAAATTACGCAAATAACCATATTTCATATGACTCTCTAAAGGAGGAACCATCTCACTTGGCGCCTCCACCAAGATTTTTTCCCTAGGCGCCATCTCACTTGGCGCCTCCTCTCTCTTTTAGCCAAGTGAGATGGCGCATGCACTTTAAAAGTGAGAGGAGGCGCCATCTCACTTGGCTCCTAGGGCAAAATGTTATTTTTATAAATAATTCGTCTGTTTCTCCGTTATTTCTCACACTTTCTCGCACTGTTTTCTTTTTTTTTTACTCTGTTATTTGCGTCATGACATCGCCCATGATTTTTACCAGAGATGGTTACGTTATCTTCTCCGCCACGAAACCTGCGATGAAAATGAAATTCTGGCACATTCACTCCATGGAGCGTCTGAAGCGGGAGTTGATGCGATGGCTAGATAGAGACATTGTGGAGGGGGAAAAATTCGAAGGATCCAGCGAAGACGAACAACAACCTCACATGCGACAGGAAGACCTAATGTATGGTTGGAGGAAGTCAAAACAGACAGCGACGTAATGTTGATGATGCATGGGTCAGATGAAATTGTTTTAACAGTTGTAATTTCGTAGACGGAATATCGTGTTTTTTTTCTTGTACGCGCAATATTTATTGTAGCAAATACTGTTAACGAAAAACCCTAATGTTTACAACATAATTAAGGAAAGATTTTATGTATTACAATTTTTATGTGGTCGAGGCAGACGCCCGATTCGGATAATTTTTGCGATTGTGTCCGACCTGACGGCATAAACCACACTTTCTTTCAAGCTTGTCAAGGGAGTCCATTTCGATTGTGATGCGCTTACTTTTGGGACGACCCTTCTTGTTCTTTCGCATTTGGTCATTGTGCCACACTATTTCGCTGTCGTATGCAGGCCAATAATCTGGTTTTGCTACCAAAGAAAAGCTGTTGTTGTAAACGTTGAGCAACGTTTCAGATTTGTAAATGTGTGACAGAAGTTGCAGCGCGTCTTGATGGGTATAAGCACAAGCGACAATGACATGAGAGCAAGGCATACAAAAGGCTTGAAACTTGCCACAATCGCACAAACGAGAAGGTAATACAACCCTATATTCTTGTCTTGGCAGGCCTTCGTTGTGGTCGATTGTCTCTTTCACAATGAAATTGTGGTTGTGTCGGTCAAACCGTATAACCATATGAGTGTTGGCTTTGGTACTTTCTGCCTTAATGTACTGCATGCAACTTTCACTCCATAGTTGTCCAGATTTCAACACCGCATTCCATATTTTACCTTTTTTGGCAAACAACGAAGTCATCCTAAAATACGTAGGTTTTACCAAAGCAGTGATCAGGAGGTTTCGTTTGCCTTTGAATACCCCATTTATCGATTCAATTAGATTTGTTGTCATGTGCCCCCATCTTTGGCCATTGTCGTATGACCTAGTCCATTTTTCCACCAGAATATTGTCGATCCTCCTACCGGCTTTAGGATTTGACAAACGGATCTCGTTGCGGTAATATTTGAACGTGGGTTGTGTCAATGCATATCCCGCATTCATAACCGCTTTCCTTAGTGTTTTGTCTTTGATCTCCCTCGTGAAATTTTGGACGATATGTCTAACGCAATAGACATGCGTAGAAGGAGGGTCATGCCAACCGTTTGCAGGATTATTATAGGAACTTTCAATGGATGCATGTCTATCCGAGATCAAACAGAGATCTGGTTGAGGAGCCACGTGTGTTCGTAGATTTTTCAGAAAAAAGCTCCAAGCACCACCGGTCTCCCCCTCGACTAGGGCAAAGGCAATTGGGAAAATGTTGTTATTGCCATCTTGTGCAACTGCCATCAGTAGCGTGCCTTTGTATTTCCCATACAACCAAGTCCCATCAATTTATATAATTGGTTTGCATGATGCAAACCCTGTGATGCAAGGTTGAAATGCCCAAAACACTCGACTGAATATTCCGTTTCTGTTTAGTTGACTACCATCTTGGGCGTATGCTGACACTGTTTCTAGAATATAAACAATACCCGGAGAATAAGTCTTGAGTGCATTCAGGTAGCGAGGAAGTTCTTGGTATGACTCCTCCCAGTTTTCGTACACCTTTTCAATCGCATTGGTCTTTGTTAACCATGCCTTACGGTAAGACGGAGTATAACTAAAAACCATAGTGATGTGGGAAATGATGGTTTTCACCTTCAAAGATGGGTCATTGCTGACGAGTGGTAAGATTTCTTGACAAATGAGATCGTAATTAAGTTTTCGATGGTCCTGTGATTGGGTAGAACTGACACAAGTGTGGGTAGACATGGAACCTATGACCCAGCAATCATCTCTTAATTTGTATGATGCAGTGAGCTTGAACATACAATCAGGGTGGACACACTTGATCTTGTACTTTTCTGGGTTGACACGGTCCATCTTAAAATCGACCGAGTTGAGCATGTGGAATTTTTTTATGGCTCTGATGCATTCCTCTCTATTACGAAACTTGTCCTTCTCTTTTAAGTTTTCATCTGACTGCATATACGGATTGAAAAATAAATCAGAAGACGGTTCATCTCCGCCCATGTTGAAGTTTTTCATGTGTAGATGTGGTGTGTAGATCTCGTTTGCAGGAATACCAGGTATCCCATCGTCTTCGGAATCATCATTCACCATTTCATCAAACTCTAACTCGTCATCTTCTTCTTCTTCATCAACTGCATCTACCTCTGCTTGTTCGGTCTCCAAAGGATCAACCACTTGTGTCACCTGAGGCTCTCGCAGCATAATGTACAACTCAATAGAGTCGTACCCAGAATACACATGACTAGAAAACATATTCTGAAGATCCTCGTCATCTTGAACCTCAACCTTATAAAATATTATTTGGTTGTTACCAAAAAAAAACTGGATTTTGATAAAATATTTGTGTCATCGGGCCTCGTCCAAGTTTGGCCTCCAATCGTTTTTTGAAGTACGAGAAATTGGCTTTCCCGTTTAAAAGAAATCGATAGTGTTACATGTAAGTCTCCTCCCATCATCTCCAATAGTGTTACATGCATTCAGGCATGGCTTCTCCAAGGCAATCAAAGAAAAATGTACATTTTATGGTTGCGCTTTTTTACTTCAAGCCTGGGGTTGGTGGAGGATGGAGTCCCTAAACCCCGTCAACAACAACACATTCATTTTCCCGTACGCAACAAAGTAAGTCATCTAGTTATATCATTTATTACTGTTCATCTCTTCACCAAATATATGCTAAAAATAAAATATT